CGACATGCAACTCGGTAGGACCGATATGGTTAGGGTTAGGGCATAATGTAATCTCGGTGAGACCGATTTTGGTAATAAGCTAACCAGAGAGTTGGTCAGGTAAACTCCGTGGGACCGATTCGCTCATTCGGTGGGACTGAAACGTTACGAAAGGGAAACAGAGAGTTTACATTGCAATCTCGGTGGGACCGATCGCTCATCTCGGTGGGACCGAAACGTTACGAAGGGAAACAGAGAGATTACAATCCCATCTCGGTGAGACCGAGATCCCTATCGGTGAGACCGATTTGCCTAGGGTTTGTGGCAGTGGCTATGACATCTGAACTCGGTGGCGCCGGATAGAAAGAATCGGTGGGGCCGAGTTTGACTTTTGGTTTAGCTCATATGGGGATGTGAGAAAGTAGTTAAGGGCTTTTGAGCATATCACTAAGCACTTTAGAGCAAGAACCTCATTAAGCAACACCTCATCCCTCCTTGATAGTATTGGCTTTTCCTATAGACCTAATGTGATCTTGGATCACTAAAATAGAGAATGTAGAGTCTTGAGCTTGAGCTTGAGCCAATCCTTTTGTCCTTCACATTTTGAGGGTCCACTTTACTCATCCATGCCATGCCAATCATTGAGCTTTCCTGAAATATTTATTTTGGAATAGCATTAGCTTAATGAGCTATATGTTGTTAGGAATTACCAAAACCACCTAGGGATAGTTGCACTTTCAAAGCTATATCATGTTGTACTCTGATGTATTTCAATTATGAAATCATGCTTCCTTAATACGCAAATGAAATATATTATGTGCTTAATATGAATGTCAATTAGATTAATAAATAGATTATTAATAATAGGGCAATTAGCATGCTAATGGCAAATTAGCAGGGTTTTGCTATTGCAAACAGTTATTGAGAAAATACCGTGGGCGATGACCTCAGGCAACGCACACAGTTTCTAGGAATAAACCGTGTTGGATTAATGAACAATCACACACGACATTCTCTTGAATTTTTTTTTGCGCGAGGCCACCTTGCGCAAACGTTTACCACATAAAAACTGTGTGTGATGGACAGTCTTTGCCACACAATTTCTTCTACGCATAGTGTGTGATGCATTCAATAACGCAAACGATAAAATTGTTAATATCGTGTGCAATGGTAACGCTATCACAAACGATTTAACGGGAAAAATTGTGTGTGATGTACCTGCGAACGGAAATGTTTTCCTTGGACCGACTGTGTAGGATGTATACGAACGGAAACGTTTAGCGGGACTGACTGTGTAGGATGTACTAAAGACCGGAAACGATTTCGTCCGTATAATTGTATTTTTTTAGCACTACTATACGTATAACCGTATTTGATCGCTCGCCAGTCGCACACGGCCTCATTTTGCCGAGCGTGTATGCCAGGAGGGCATATCCCCGACGGTTTCTGAGTCATGTGG